GATGACTTAAATTTACACTTGAATAAGCGGCTATATAAAGCATTGTCTTGTAACAACTATTTATCAATGCACCTAATAAGTCATTTGAAGTAATCTTGACAAATATGATAAATCTTAAGATTTCTGGTAATAATTTTTATACAAGTGGATAACTAAACATACGTAAAATTTCAGTCAACAAACAATACATATATTATCAGTCTATGATGTTTATAACAAATTTTTTTGTTGATTATTAAGTACAAATTGTTGCTACAACTTAAAAAACAAAAAAAAAAAAGCAAGATTAAAGCTTATCAAATTGAAGACTATAAAAGAACTAATAAATTCAGTTTTATACAGATAAAACAAAAGCTGTGTTCGGTTTATACTTCATTATTTTAAGTTTAAGTATACCTACCTGTTGTTTTATTAAATACTGCTCTTGAAGTTGTCGTCTATTTTAATGGTACTCTCGACCATTTTTAGTCGAGTGTTAAAAAAGCTAAGTGTAAAAAACGATGTCAGATAAAACAAACTAAACAATTCACGTTTCAAAAATGAGATTAGTCACTGAAACAGATTAAAATCAACTACATTTTAATGCATAAACTAACCAAAACTGATTATTGGCGATCTTAGTTAATTGTTTTCTCAAAATTAAAGCTTCTAGCAAAAGAATGCTTGAGTTTTTACGTCGTCATTTTATTAGAATTCTCAGTAATGTGGAATCAGTGTTAAGTTGCGGATGAGTGAATAAAATCTGTAAAATAAGACATTCTTATTTAGCTGCTATAGAGTGAATAGAGTTTCTAGCCTTAGATTAAGTGTACAAATAAAAACGTTATAAAAAAGTTCATTTAAGGCGTGCAGCTTTATCAGTCTTCAGTCTTTCATTTAGTCTCATCGAGAAGCAGAATAAATAAACAGACAAAAGTTTAAAAGAAACGGACAATAATAATTTGTGTTCTAGAAATTGAGCAGTAGGTCTAACCTAAAATATTCAAAGAATGAAAAGGACTCTGTTTAACATGTTATTCTTATCTGTAGAACGACAATAACAACAAGAAATATAAAATAAAAAAAGTCTTTGATTCTGCTAAGTTATAAAATCAACAAAATTTTGTGGCAATCCGTTCTAAAAGATTACTCAAAATTAATCTTATCAGTTGTTTTTTAATATAGCTGTTCTTTTATTTGATGTGATTAAACAGCAAAAAGCTAACTTGTTCAATGGCTTTTTATGCTTAAATTTAAGACATAAAACTGTTGTTTATGATTTATGGTGATAATGAACACATCAGAAGATTTGTCTATGCTGTTGCAACTGTATGTTCGTCAATTAATGCTAATTAGCTCTTTTATTCAATGAATCTATTTTATTAGTAGTTTTTTTTTCTTACTATTGTCGTCATAGACATTTCTTAAGTTAGGAAAAAATTTTCTTCTCCCAAATTCACATTACTTATTGGGATTATCGTCAAAAAAAAAAAACAATTAACAACTTATTTGAACAACTAGGAAAGAGCGTTTTTAAGGCTAAAAAGTATCTATTTTTTGGTACTAGAACTTTTTGCATTAATGTAAAAACAGTCTTAGAATTTTGCCATAATATGGCAGCAATAAAACATTCAAACCTAAGTTTATTTTCTGTGTACCATCATCAATCTGACTAATGTAAATACATTTGTAAATAAGCTTTGAATAAGGTTCTTTAACCTTTAACGAATCGTCCTCAGATCTGATAAACTATTTTTTTTACTTAACTTCTCGTTGTTACTTTCTTTAGCTACTTCAAATTAAAGTTTTATCTTTTTCTACAATTCCAAATTAAAAATTTATTGTTTTTTTTTGCGTGTAGTTTTTTGTTTTTCTAGATTTTTTTTTAAATAACAAATTGTATACATTTTACAAAGTTGGTTTTTTTTCCTCTTTTTTTTTAAAAAGCCACATATTTAGCCAAAAATCTTAAGACGTTTCTAAATTTGTGCATCTTTTTATGCTTCTCTTGACAAAGCTGAATTCAAATGCCGTTACTCTAAGTTCTCTTCTGCAGTGTATCACTGTGAACCACTTTCAGTCAACTGCTAAAACTTCGTTTAGTTGATGAAAAGCTTTTATATAAGCTTTTTTTTTTAAACTTAAGCCAATAATTTTTATTTTTTTTAATTGCATATCTATTCAAATTCTTCTTTTGTTTGGAAATAAAAGAAGGCTTGTTTCTTAATTAGACAAAATATCATATAATTTGATAATGGTGCTTTTCAGGTTGTTACTGAAAATAGTACCATTAGCAAAGGAATAATTCCCGCTTAGAATTAATCTTTTCTTTTTTGATATAAAATATTGATGCAAAAACTACACAGCAAAGGTTTTATGTTTTATTTTTAATCAGTCTTATTACCGGTAGAACAGTCAAAAGTATTTTGAGTGTTGGTGTGAAAGAAAAAACATCTGTCTTTATTTCTTCTTTGCCCTTAACAAACTTTATCTTGCTTCCTTCTTTTTATTTGAAGCACTCTTAGTACACTTAGAAATTACATAGGCCAGTCATTAAACCGTGGTCTAGTTACTAATCTTTCAACCGTGATCATTTCTTTGGTTTTGATATTCTAGTTGTACAGGCACTTCAACTCTCGTGTTTTCTGAAGAACCATCAACAGATTTGAGGAATGTAGAACAATTGAACCTATTCTACCGAGGCCTTGACCTATTGCCTCTACAGTCGGTTGAACTAATTTCATCATTCTGATAACTATATTATTTCGTAAATTTAAAAAAAAACATACAGTCTCAGTCGATTTTGCAAGCTTTAAAGTTTAGGGTTTAATGTATTTAAACAATGTATGTTTAATGTGTTTAATGTTTAATGTATATTTAGAGTATATAACTTCTTGTTTCATAAGGTTTTCATCGACTGATTTTTGTCATTGTAGTTTGCTTCTTGACTGTAAAATCGGAGCACAATAATCATTGCTTCTAATGACACTTAAGCTTATGCTTATATTAAACATTAGTGATACCGTCGTATCAGCGTTACCTGTTGTTCTTTAATGACAACATTTTCATTGTCATAAGTAGCTAAAAGTTTCAAAGAATGTCACATTTTCTTATTTAACATATACGCATTCTGTATTTGTCAAGCAAAATAATTTTGATCATGTGGTTTTGTCTTTGCTAAAAATTTAAGTGAAAACAAAGTGAAAAGAAACTAAAAGAGCAGAAATTGCTGAGAAGTTTCCAATAAAATTAAAAAAGTATCTTTGCTTGAATTTAATGGTTTTACGCAGTCATTTATTAACTCATTGATAGATGTGTAAATAGTTTTTTTATTGCTTATATTTGCAGATACTATTCATAATGTGGTTCAAGGTAAATATATTGCTGTTATTACTGTTGATTGCTGTTGCCTGTGTATTAGCAGATAATTCTTGGCGTAGACGTGAAGCCAGACGTAGAAGGCTTGATCATCAACAACGTCATAAAGATGAAACTATACAGACTGCTGAAACTAGAAGACCAACTCGAAGGTCGCATCGTCGAGTAAGAAATCTTAAACTTTTTTCATATTAATATTAGTAGTTAGAGAAGAGGAAGAAGAAGAAGAACTTAATAAAAGTAGAAAAAAATAGAACATTTACTGTAAAACTTACTTTTGAAAATTTATAGACAGTATGTGAAAGAAGAAGGTCTTTTTTTTGTCAATAATGTAGAAGACAATTAACCATTTTTTAGCACAACAAATAGGCTTTACTAAAAGTTAGTGTAACGTTCACTGAATGAAAAAAATACGGCAACTAAACAGTAGTATTTTTTGGTTAAAAGATGATTGACAGGAGGAGAGGATTAATAACACATTTAGGTGTTGTTGTTGTTTTTTAAGTATTTGCTATAAATGATAAATTAACGCCATTTTTTTCTTTTCATTCAAATTTTTCATTAAATTTACAGTGCAAACGACTCGTAATTCATCTGTGGTCCTTCTTTTTTTCATCTTTTTTTTTTT